GATTATTATCAATGTCTAAACAGTTGTGCTGCTTAATATTTTTCTGGAAACCATTATTATTATTATTTTTTTCCAGAATTATTTGATGAATAGAAAGAAGTTCAAAAGAACAGCATTTATTTGAAATAGAAATCTTTCATAACATTATAAATGTCTTTCCTGTCACTTTTGATTAATTTAATGCATCCTCACTGAATACAAGTATTTATTTTTTTTAAATAAAACCTTACTGACCACAAAAATGAAAGAAAAGCACTGAGAAATAATATAGAAGCAGCAGTAGAGAGTGATGTGTACTTGGGCTGGTTGCATTCCCTGTCTGCTGACTGGACTCCGGCTCCACAGGTGCGAGAGCAGTGAGACCAGGTGCTCCAGGGCCCCCAGCCTCCATGCACTGTTTCCGGTAACTTCCCTACGATCACACACTCACCAGAGATACACCACTAACACACACACACACACACACACACACACACACACACAGAATTAAATACAGTATACAATAATACAAAATACTTTTATTTGAAAGTCAATCTCTTATACCTTCTCAGGTCCACACCTGGTTCCATCTATCGGCGAGTCCAGTTTGGAGCGGCAGGATCCATTTACAGAGCACCACAGAATCTGACACACATTCTGAAACCAATAAAGCCTGAATGAATGGTTTGACAACCTGCAGACCCCCTTTCATTATAAGAGACTGTATTTTATTCATCTTGATTTTTGAATGAATGCACTCCTTACTTCCACTTCTGAGCAGAAGGTTGCGTTGGGTCCGTACTGCAGCTGGCACTGGTGCTGGGGGGTGTATCGCACTCCTGGCGCCGCCATCGGGGAGCTGAGGTCCCTCTTAGATGGCCGGTCATCCAGACAGAAACCCCAACCACGACTGAGAGGATAACAGAGCTTTATGAATGAAGATCATAGTCTGGAATATTTAAAAATGTGCGGTAAGACGTAAGATATAAAGCATGCAATTACATGTTCCTGTACATGAGTGCGTGTTCTCACTCGAGAAAGCGTGTTATGTACTCCTTGCTGCAGGAGGACCAGGTGAGAGGAGAGGAGTCGTAGTGAAGCTGGCGGGACATGATGAATGGATGCCTACCTACTAACTCACAGTCATTCCCTTGACCATCATGATGGATTCCAAAACTACAGCACAAAACATGCTGGCATCACCTTTTTATCTTTTTAAACATACAGTACCATTTAAAAGTTTGGGGTCAGCAAGATTTTTAAAAATGTTTGAAAGAAGTGTTTTATGCTCATCAAGGCTACATTAATTTGATAAAAATTACAGCAAAAACTGTAATATTGTGAAATATTACTTCAATTTAAAATAACAGTTTTTTAAAAATATAATTTATTAATGTGATGCAAAGCTGAATTTTCAGCATCATTATTCCAGTCTTCAGTGTCACATGATCCTTCAGAAATCACTGTAATATACTGATTTGCTGCTCAAGAAACATTCTTATTATTATCAATGTTGAAAACATGCTGCTTTATATTTTGGTGGAAACCATGGAAACCACCTTTTTATGAATTGAAAGTTTAAAAAATGTAATCTTTTGTAACATTATAAATGTATTTACTGTCACTTTAATGCGTCCTTGCAGAATAAAATTATTTCTTTAAAAAAAAAAAAGATCTTACTGACGCCAAACTTGAAAATAAACTTTTTCTTTGCTTTGGAATAACATTCATCAAAGAATCATACAATATAACACAGGAATGCTGAATTAAATTAATGTAGTCACATTATTTGATAGATTTAACATTGTTTGGGGTGCAATGTAAAATGTAAAATTTTATTTTTATTTAAAAAGAAAATTAAATGTTGCATAGGAATGTCACTCAGTTTGCATTCCATTCTTATTATTATCAATGTTGAAAACATGCTGCTTTATATTTTGGTGGAAACCATGGAAACCACCTTTTTATGAATTGAAAGTTTAAAAAATGTAATCTTTTGTAACATTATAAATGTATTTACTGTCACTTTAATGCGTCCTTGCAGAATAAAATTATTTCTTTAAAAAAAAAAAAGATCTTACTGACGCCAAACTTGAAAATAAACTTTTTCTTTGCTTTGGAATAACATTCATCAAAGAATCATACAATATAACACAGGAATGCTGAATTAAATTAATGTAGTCACATTATTTGATAGATTTAACATTGTTTGGGGTGCAATGTAAAATTTTAAATTGTATTTTTATTTAAAAAGAAAATTAAATGTTGCATAGGAATGTCACCCAGTTTGCATTCCATTATATTATTACAATGAGTCCAATATGTATTATTTTCTAAAATACCTTATGCATTTTATCAGAAAATGCATTTGTTTTTCAATTTCTGTTCAACCACATAAGTCTGTGTTCCACACCGTTAAACCACCAATTATATTTTTAATAAAAAATGTATTATTATTATTATTATTAAAGTGTCATCTTGTAAAACTAAATTACAACAAATTGTAATCAGTTTTTAAAGGAAAAATATTCTTAGCATGAAAATTGAGCCAGAGGTGGGAAAAATGTGACCTGAAAAATGAATACCATATTTAGGCACTAATGGCACTGTTTCATGAAAATGACCCATAAAAATGTACCTGTGTCCGAGTTCATGAGCAATGGTGAAAGCAACAGGTAGCCCTGAGTCCTCGTTGATATTACAGGAGCGATGTGGCTGGCACAAGCCCGACAGGTGAGACAAGCCCAGCGTCTCACACGGCTGATTCATGCCTGCGCAGATATCCTTCCTGAGAGGAGAGGTCACATCAGGTCAGACACAGCAACACAGCACACCAGCTGCTTTGATTCATTTTATAGGCTACTAAAGTCCTGCTGCAGGGCTAAAACTGCTGAAGAAGAGTTATGGCAGGGGTTGAATTCTTTGTCATTTATTTGGCTGTGTTTAGCATGAATGAGCTCCGGAGAATCTCAAGCCTTGGACACAGAACATGGTGAAGTCATTCAGTCTGTGGTGCTCTGGGTTAAAACGAGAGAGTTTAAGGTCTGTTAAATGCTCAGAGACAAACAGCTCCATTACTGCAACCAAGAAACTGACATTTATGACAATAAATGAGAGTCAGAGGGTTCACATGTGTATTTGACAGCGCTTCATTGTATTACTTTTGGTGTTAGTAATTGTATTTACTTCATCTTAAACTTTTTTTTTTAATCTAATATTTATATTGATGATTTCTGAAGGATCGTGTGACACTGAAGACTGGAGTAATCTATGCTAAAAATTCAGCTTCTATAACAGGAATAAAATATATATTTTAAATATATTGAAATGGGAAACAGTTAATATTAAATTGTATTAATATTTTACAATATTACTGTCAAGTATATGCATTCTTATCAAATATATGCATTCCTATGGTTATAACTAAAATGATTGGCTAGGGTGTTTTTACCGTGTGATGAGTATAGCGACATCATGGTGTGCAGGATGAGTGTCACTTTGAGGATTGAGGTTTTTTTGCCAGGTACAGAAGCTGTTGAGAGTCGTATCAGCGTGGTGAATGATCTTCAGGCCTTTCTGAAAATACACAAAAGTAGCAGTAAAGTAAAAGTAGTAATAGTGTCCACTAACAGCATGTGTTGTGATTTGCGCATATGTTAACTAGCATAACCAGCAAGTTGTCCATGTTTAACCAGCACTAACCAGCATAGATCAGGACCCCCTGAAAACTCATGTTGGTCTAAGCTGATTTTTTCTGCTGGGAAGGACTGGATGTAAAGCAAATTATGCCTTGATTCATATGTACCTCCTCTCCGTGTAGCAGAATGAGCCGGACCAATACGATATGGATAGCATTACCGATGCTGGCATCGTGAAAAATTCCAGCCACCTACAAAAAAGTTATACAAAATATTTAAAAATATACAATTTTAGTTTATCAAGCTGGTCTTTTCTATTCAATGAAAGTCATATGTTGCGTTCAAATCATGTCGGAATGATGTATTTACCAGCTGAACACATAAATGCCATCACAGTTATAATTACGAGTAGGAAACTCTGAACTTTCTATAACACTTTATTTTGATGGTCCCCTTTAGACATTCTGTTGAGTGACTATAAGTAACAAAGCAGCAACTACTGTATGTCAACTAGCAGTCATTAAAGTATTAGTAGATTGTCTGCTTAATATCTGCTAACACTTTATTTTGATGGTTCTCCAACAGACATTCTACTGACTAGAAGTCACTTTGCAAGTTCATGTCAACTTATTCTACTAACCCTAACCGTAACAGTCACTAATACTCTAACATAAGAGTTAGGGCCAGATTTATTAACAGCTTGTGCCAGAGCAAACCCTCTTTTGGCATTAAAAAAAGACACAAAATGAAACAATAGTGCTGGACACAGCAATTTTTGTGGCTGACCATTTATTGCAAATGCATTTGCAGGAGTTTCCTTTCAGATGCAAGTATTTAAATGAATCATGCAAGGTGATTTTACTAAGGTTTGCAATGGTCAGTTTTCTGGTTTTTGCACCATTAACATCCCCAAAAAGCATTTCTTAACCCAGTTTGCGCCTGTGTTGCTAGTGGATTATCATCGGCTTTGCTTGTTTGTGACGCTACACTAATTTGTGCTGCTAGGTTGTGTTGTTCACTATGGAAATTATTTAGCTGCATCTGTGTTCTTTAATTTGCGCACTGTCAGTAAATCGCCAGCAGAACTTACAGTCCCTTCAGCGCTTTTAGTGCTCTCAATGTTAAGTACATCTGGCCCTTAGTTGAAGTTTAGCAGCAAAGTTACTTATAGTCAACAGAATGTCAAAAGGGGACCATCAAAATGAAGTGTAACTGAACTTTCTTTAAGCTGTGAGTTTTCAAGTTGGGAGCATGAAAAGAATATGACGGATATATTAGAAGCAGCATCTGTACTGACAATAAATTTCTAAATTGCATCTATGATAATATTGTATATATTTACAATATATAACAATTCAATTTACAGCACCTTCATAAATTGAACAACATAAAGCAAAAACACAGTGATGCACATTCTTTATTCATCATTCTGTAGAAGGTTAAAAATCTTGCAGAATTTTATGCAGAAAAGGTACACTGCCGTCTCTGACCAAAGTGACTTGAACACACCTGACGTCGTAATTAACTTGTAAAGATGAATTTCTCAGAAGTACTTGAATGCACTTACCATGTTCATGATGGTAAAGATGTAGGACTCAACGTTTCCACTTCCGTGGTAGTCCACGAGTTTGGAGTCGCCCACCACCATGGTCTCCACCCAGCGCTCTTTGCTGATGGAGCGAGGGGAGATCCTCCGGGGTCGTGTCCACTCTCGATCCGGATCATGATTACGATCCCCACCCTGCTGGTGCTGCTCCTGCTCCCAGTGCTCTCTCTCCTGCTCCACCTGTTGGGAAAACTCAGAACCATCTGCACCGGAGATACTCAAATGAGAATTTTTTTGGTGAAGTATCATTTTATTAAGAATTTTTAATACATCTAACATATCTGACCTTTGACCCCACAGGGACTATGATGAACGCTGTGTGCATCAGTGCTGCGTCGCTGCCTGAGTCCACTCCAGGTTGAACTCCAGTAGATCACATGTGGGTGTCGTGGATGAGTGATGTTTGAGATGTGGCCACGGACCGGCTCGATCAATAGCGGCCCCTGCGGTAAATTTAACAGCCCTGTCTATAAGAAAAAACAATACCGTTTAAAAGTTTGAGCGCAAACTAAAAAAAATTAATTATTTTATTCAGCAATAATGAATTAAATGAATCAAAAGTGACATTAAATCTATTCCGCCAAGATCAAATACATTAACATTGTCATGTACATTACCATGCCAATCCCTCAGAGTGTTGTCATGACAGAACTATAATGTTACAAAAGTATTTTAATTATTTAACTATTTATTAAACAATCCTGAAAAAAAGTGTTGGTTTCCATAAAAACATTTATGCAGCACGACTGCTTTCAGCAATGATAATAATAAGAAATGTTTCTTGAGCAGCAAATCAGCATATTAAAATGATTTCTGAAGGATCATGTGACACTGACTGAAGACTGGAGTAATGATGCTGAAAATTCAGCTTTTATTCAGTATATTCAAATAGAAAAAAACTATATCTTAAATTATAATATTTCACAAAATGACTGTTTTTACTGTATTTTTCATCAAATTCTAAAGTTATTTCTCTAGTAGCAAATGTTTTATGATTTCCTATGTCTCTATGAAATGGCTGGTCTTTGCACATGGCTCAAAATCAAAAGAGCCCACCCTCATGTATCTATGATGTGGGGGTACTCATGGGTTCTCACTTTGTCAGTTTAAGTCTATAGTAATTGTTCACCTATTTTATCATCCCCTAGTTGAAAATGGCACATCCATCAACCTATAAAAATAACAGCCCGACTACTCATGAAGCCACACAATTTGCATTATCATTCATATCTGTAGCTCAAACAGTGTTGCGCATTAGAGCTTAAAGGGTTAGTTCACCCAAAAATGAAAATTCTGTCATTATTTACTCACCCTCATGTCGTTCTAAACCCGTAAGACCTCCGTTCATCTTCGGAACACAAATTAAGATATTTTTGATGAATTCTGAGAGCTCTCTGACCCTCCCATAGATAGCAATGTAACTACCACGATCAAGGTCCAGAAACGTAGCAAGGCCAGTAAATAATCCATGTGACATCAGGGGTTTACGAAGCTACAAGAATACTTTTTGTACGCAAAGAAAACAAAAATAATGACTTTATTCAATAATTCGTCTCCTCCTGGTGCCATTTTGGAGAATATCCACTGAACGTAAACAGCGTATGCTATTCTGTGTCAGCTGCGTCACGCGGATACGGTTTTTACGTTGTTTACTCTTTGATTTGAACTCAGAATTCATCAAAAATATCTTAATTTGTGTTCCGAAGATGAACGGAGGTCTGACGGGTTTAGAACGACATGAGGGTGAGTAATTAATGACAGAATTTTTGGGTGAACTATCCCTTTAATGCTTAGAGATTAGGGTTTGTTAAAATCGTTTAAAGTAGTTTGTACTGTTATAACACTTCAGGTGTCAAGGCTCATTATTTAGATCTGTTGGAATTCCAGTGAATTCAGGGAAGGTATTTTTCCTGTCACACTCCCTGTTTGTTAATTTTCTCTGCAAGTGCTTGCCAGTCCTGGCATTTCCTCCACACTGCAGGGCCTTTAGCAAGTTTATCCAGTGTGCCTGAACATGTCACATGCACAAGCTTAAACACAAAACCAATACATTCAGTGCATCCATTAAACGTCAAACATTCATGCAATTTGAAATGCAATTGTTCTTTATTGGCATCTATAGTTCCATGAAGAACCTTTAACATCCACGGAACCATTCCATTCCACAAAAGGTTCTTTATAGTCGAAAATGGGTATTTTTTAAATGTTGTTTTAAATGGTTCTCCACATTTTATTTGCTCAAAAATACAGTAAAAAGTTATATTAAAAATATTATTGCAATTTAACTGTTTTCTATTTTAATATATTTTTAAATGTAATCTATTCCTGTGATGCAAAGCTGAATTTTCAGCAGCCATTACTTGAGTCTTCAGTGCCACATGATCCTTCAGAAATCAACATTTTTTGTTATTATCAATGTTGAAAACAGTTGTGCTGCTTAATATTTTTTTGTGGTAACTGTGATATATATATATTTTTTCAGGATTCTTTGATGAATGGAGTTCAGTAGCACAGCATTTATTTATATTTTATTGAAGAAATCCTTTTTTGAATCAAATTAATTCAATCCTAAGCATCATTTCTGTTTCTTAAGGTTAGGGTTTTGAACAAACTTCTAACCTCATGTGTTAGCCTCACATTTCAAGGGTCAAATCAGGTTGCACATTCACTCTTTACAGTCTTCTTAAAGTGTGTGTCCATATGTCCTGGAGTGTTTCAACCCTTGAGATTTCATTTGGCAAATGAAACATCTCTGAAATGTGACATTTTTCTCTTATCACCATGGTTTCTTGGAGATGCAGTGAAATCCCAGCTTTATGGGAATGAAAACGACTCTCATGATGCACTTCATGCACTCGTTCACCACCCTGCTGAATGAATCAGTCCCACAGGCCAAAAACAGGTGTGTATGTATGTGTGTGTGTTCAGAACAAACTAAATAAACCGTGACCAGAAAAAACATTCCAAATGTTTCGAAACTGGGCTGCACGTAACACAAAACAGATACTAGGATTTGTGGAAAGGCAGAGGAATACACCATGAATTCTCCAGGGGGTCAGAGACGCAGTCATAATATTGACTCAGCCGAGTCGATCATCCACAGAGTCTAAACAATACTAACCACTGCAACATACACGTCTGTGATACACAGCTATGGCATGAGGCTCTAAAAGCACTCACACATGTCCTCAAATGAAAGAAAAATCTTAGTACCATGTCTATTCATTTTCATTCAGTATATATATAGCAAAATATTACAAATAGTTACAAATCCCTATGCCATTTTTATTCATAGGGATATTAAATGCAAACAAAGTGTCTACTTGAATGTTTCAAATAATGCTTGTAAAAATAAAATGTTAAAATATGGATGACATTATGGACAACATACTTATTTTGACCTGACCTTAATCAAATATATAACAGAAAAAGTGATCATGCTAAATCTGGTCATACTAAAAACGGTCATTTTACTGCCAAAATACCTTTTACACAAGCAAATAAGATATTTAATTCATCTCTGTCTTTTGTGGGCCCGTCCTCTCTTTCTCTCTCCTGCTCTGCTCCTCACAGCAGAAATGTGAGCTTTGGTGTCAGGGGGCATTATGAAAACAGAAACTGAACTGCTAAATACAGAAGTCATGTGTGTTGCTGGACTTCCAGAGTTCCTGCCGGTTTTGGTAAGACTTCAAACAGGATATATAGGACTTCCATCTCATGTAAAGGGCTTCGAACTACAGTATAGCACTTCAAAACCAGCCGTACATCCTCTGGAGGGCAGGAAGAATGTATATGGATCTAATGACTAATGCAGAGCGGGTCAGCGACGGGTAGTTTTATTTATCTGGTTTAAAACAAAAGTTGAACAGGAATTGAGTGAACAGAGTTCAGTGCTAATGAGTTTTTCACAAGGACCATAAACCAAACAGTAAGCAATCCTAAAGTTCAGTTTATTGTGCAATGAAATGCACCACATAACTAAAATACTTTCTCCCATAGTTTAATGTGCATGTAGAGATGACCATAATAAACACAATGGCTCTGTACTGCTGTCAAGATAACGCACTGTTTAAAAGTTTGGAGTCAGTAAGATTTTTTGTTGTTGAAAGAAATCAATACTTTTATTCAGAAAGGATGCATTAAATGGATCAAAAGAGACAGTAAGGACATATAATTTTACAAAAGATTTTATTTTGATTAAATGCTGTTCTTTTGAACTTTCTATTCATCAAAGTATCGTGAAAATGTACTGTATCAGTTTCCACAAAAATATTAAGCAGCACAGCTGTTTTCAACATTGATAATACTGTTTCTTGAGCAGCAAATCAGCATATTAGAATGATTTCTGAAGGATCATGTGACACTGAAGACTGGAGTAAATGATGCTGAAAATTCAGCTTTGCATCACAGGTATAAATTACATTTTAAATTTTATTCGAATAGAAAATGTTATTTTAAATTGTAATAATATTTCACAATATTACTGTTTTTACTGCATTTTTGATCAAATATATGCAGCCTTGGTGAGCATACTTCTTTCAAAAACATTATAAAAAATCTTACCGACCCCAAACTTTTGAACAGTAGTGTTTGGTTTGTTCAAGCATTTTGAAATGTTAACTTTCGGCTTAACCGATGGTGTGTGAGTTTGGGGCGGAACAACCCTGATTAGACAAAAATAGAAGATGGGAAAAGCATTTAACACAATCAACATTTTTGCAAAATAGTGGTGATCACTATAAATTCTCCTTGTATGGAAAAATAGGAGTAAAACTGAAAAAAATTCAAGCATATGATGACAGAAGTTTTATTTTTGGGTAAACTATTCCTTTCAAAACTACAGGAAATGTTCCACAAGCTCTGCAGAGTGTATCTTTTGGCCACTGCTCCACCACTAAATGGGAAAAAGCCTTACTAAACTAAAAAAACCTTAGCACATTCGTGCAGTGCATAAATGTGCTAGGCTAATCAGTTGAACCTCATTACATTTTCGTTTAGTCACACACATGGCAAAGAATCCTGACTTTGTCCACTATAAAAGCAAAAGCACCTGGCATCATCTCGAAATCCTGCACAACAATATTACAGAAGACTATCTGTCTGTTATTTTCTGCTTCTCCCATACATTAAACACCTGAGTCTCTGAGGAGCGAATACATAAAAGTTAATGGAATGTGAGTGTAATAGCACCAGAGACTGAAAGCAAATGTTTGTAAGGAAAGATAACATGAGAACGGAATGTAACGCTGTTGATTGACATGAACACGACCTTGCAGGAGGAGCATGCATGCTCAGGCAATGACTGACAGACAGAAAGAACATTTAGTGCAGGTACTGCATGCATACTTTTGCAAATTATGCATGCGCCTAATAAATCAAAGCTCATTTTAAAGTCCAAAACTCTTTCCTGTGCTTTCACCAACAACCGATTCATTCTGCCTATCCTCTTTTCCCCCTTTGCAACTTTTTGTTCAATTGCCAAGTTAGAATGAGTCATGTTATGTGCTGACACACTGACCTGGTTACAGTTCTTCTCAAGTTCCCCGCATTTTATGAGCATCCACTCTGAATAACAGGCTACTATTGGATCTCATTACATGGCTCTCTATTCTGATTGGTGGATTCGTGGCTTTCTGCAGTTAAATATTGTTGTATAATAATGTTAAATAGAATAATTGATTGTTTTCCCACACAACTCATTTCCAGCTCTCTTTATTTCTGGATTATAAAATCATTTGAACTCAGATCAATATTTCATGTTCATTTATATGTTTATTTGGTAGGTAGCCATGTAATAAGTGGGATAATTTAAAGGGGTCATATGATGTTACTAAAAAGAACATTATTTTGTGTATTTGGTGTAATGAAATGTTTAAGGTTCAAAAAACACATTATTTTCCACATACTGTACATTATTGTTTCTCTGTGGTTGACTCTTAACTTTTATAAAGAATATCTCTTTGGATTTGAGACTTTAGTCTTTGCAACTTTACAGATCTTCTTTATGCACCAAGAGCTTGTAACACTCCAAAGAGAAAGGAAACATTTAAATCGCATCATATGACCCCTTTAATGTCAGATGGTCATTATCGGGAAAATATAAACTCTTTCAGATCTACTCTGCGGACACAGGATACAGTCAGCCCACACACGTTTCATTGTAGAGTCACTCTGAGGGCCAAACACTTCTTTTTGCAAACAAAACAGGGGCCAAAGAGTTAAGAGTCTAACAGGCCAGTCGATGTCGCTCCAGACAGGCATTTGTTCAGTCTGGGACCACCAGGTTTACGAGAGCTTATCACTAGAAGTGTTATTATCTTTAACGAATAAACTATCTGTTACTGAAATGAAGCTGAAATAAAACAAAATGTAAATATTAGATGAAAAGCTTAAGCTTAAAAATGTAAATGAAATATATTCTTTTTTTAACTGTTGTTGAAGTACTAAAAAAACTAACATTAAAATAAAATTAAATCAAAGCTACATACAAATATTTAAAAATAATATTTATATATTTAATAATAATGATTATATATCATATTTAATAATAATAATAATATATTTAAAATGTTAATTACTAAAACATAAACTAAAACGAAACTGAAGACTGAAAATATAATAATAAAAGCTAGTTCAAAATATAAACTAATATAATAGTATATAAATAACATTGTTTAATAGGGGCTTCTCAAAGAAAGACATTTAGATCAATTTAAAACCTATGAAATGTGATGCATTTCAGAGTAAAACAGATTTCAACATTAATGATATTAATCAATGTTATGTTTACATTATGTCAATATTAACCAATAGATGATATCGGATAAAAAAAAAATTTTTCAGAGAAAAAGATTGTTTTCTTTAATGTACACTGACGAATCGTTCAGAATTAAATCAGGAACATGCATTAAGAAAGTAAATAAGGTCAATTTTGAGTGCTGATATTGGCTGAATAGTTCACCCCAAAATGAAAATGTACTCACCCTCAGGCCATCTAAGATGTAAAGAGTTTGTTTCTTTTTCAGAACAGATTTGTGGAAATTTAGCATTACATCACTTGCTCATCAATGGCTCCTCTGCAGTGAATGGGTGCCGTCAGAATGAGAGCTGATAAAAACATCACAATAATCCACAAGTAATCCACACCACTCCAGTACAATGATTAATGTATTGTGAAGTGAAAAGCTGAGTGTTTGTAAAAATAAATCTGTTCCGATGAAGAAACAAACTCATCTACATCTTGACTGGCCTGAGGGTGAGCACATTTCTATTTTTGGATGAATTATTCCTTTAACAGCCAATGACAGCATCGGCACTAATGCAAATACAGTAAGTGAATTCACACCAGAAATCAATTACCTGATACGTAAAAGAACTGACAGATTAAATCAGATATTTCTCACCAGTCCTTCACAGGTGCTGATGGCGGCGGTTCCCTGCACGTAACCATCAGTTACTGTGCCAATAAGGTGGCAGGCGCCGCTCCCAAATGTTTGTGACTGCTTTTCTGTTAAACTCCCATTGTGTTTCTCCAACACATATTCATTGGTGAGCAGATTGTCATTGGTGGTTAGACTGAGAGTGAAGTCCTGACCTTTGTAGTTGAGTTTGTAATACACTCGCCTCTCTTCTGAATTCAGGTCCCTCTTATGTCGCCTGTCAGAGAAGTGATGTGATAAAGAGTATGAGATGAAATTCCCATCTCCGTCCACTTTTTCAGGATGATCCACATAAAACTCAGAGTGCTGCTTGATGAAGAGCTCTAGAAATGAAAATAAGACAATTCTCCTTTGAAAACAACTATCTTTTTGGAGCAACACATCTTCTGGGGTGAATCTCACAAAATAAATAAATAAATATTGTCATATTTCACCCTAAATTCTTATATTTTACCTATATTATTTACCTATGTTCTCATTTAATTAAGGCTGTAAGAACAAACTTTTTGTTGTTTATTATATGTATACACACACATAATTTAAAAAAAGTATTAAAATGTATATATATATATATATATATAATTTAAAATATTTATTAAAAATTATATATATTTCATATATATTTTCACAATATTTGAGATTGAAATTGTGCTTACATGCCTTGAAAATATAGCAAAAAAAAAAAAAACTTTCAAATTTTGTATTTACAAATGTTCCTTTTCTTTTGATATGGTAAAATATAACCCAGGCGTTCATTTATCAAGTCATTTTAACCATTCAGAGAGCGGTGTTACATATAAACCACCACGAATGATTGCCTTTGATCCTTAAACATAATTATATATCACGGTCCTCTTCATGTCAGATAACATAAAACAGTCAAAATGACTGATGAATGTATTTTGATGCACCAAATAAACCTTGTATTACAATGAACAGCTGTGTAAGTCTCCCAAAAAGCATGGTATACAAGATTGAGTGTGATTATACTGAAGTAAAAAAAAGACTTTGTCCTTGAAACTGAACCATTCACGCATTAAAGGGTTAAATGTGCTTTTACAGAATGAGATTGCATGAAGTTCAGAATGTTGTAAATAAGATATGAACGCAAGTGTATGATTCTTATGCATGGAAACACGAACCTTGTTCTGTGTCTGGAAAGAGGTAGTCCGGTTCAGAGCTCTTGACGTGGCTCGCAGCCAGAAAGAAAACACAATTGAACCGCAAAATCGCAACGCTGGCCCGGCTTGGCATGTTTCTGCAACGCAAAATTAACGGAGTAAATAAACGCTCTGCGGCACTGCGCCGAAGAACTGGTTAAAGTCAGTCCTGAGGGGAGCTTCTGGTGAAAGCAGGAGACATCTGGGCTCAGAGAGACGGAGAAAGAAAGTGAGCGGAGAATGAAGGAATATGATGTGGAGTGGGAGGAGAGATTCTGACTGACTTAGTGACTGTCCTCCTGTTTCCACGCGCAGGAGGAGAGGAGATCAACACGAGTGGCACTTTGCACAAACAGGGCACAAAATGGCCTGAAAGTCTTTCTTTAATTGTTTTTCAAAATAGACCGTAAAAGCTGCTTATCCTTCAGAAAATGTTGATGCAACCCAGAATTTGGGACGTGTTAAGTACGGGATAATGTGCCGGTCAAGGAGTTTATTTCGCGATAATTACCTGCTGACTTTACACAATCACGCTTACTGGGCTGCTGTAGGCTACTCACCAAATAAATAAATGCGTCAGTATAAAACCAAATAATGATCTTTAAAAAAGCATCATATGACCCCTTTAATTGGAACCACCTTCTTTATTGTAACTGGTTTCGAAATTCCAGTGGTTCGTCGCTAGGATAATTTGTCGATATTTTAATGACACATAGACCTAATAAAAAATAATTGTAGTCAGGTATCTCTTATTGCCTGATAACAAGCTAATCAATAAATAATACAAAACAAGCCAGAAAAAATAATGAAATATATATATACATTTACATATTCATATTTAATGGTATTACATGATTTGTTAATTGCATTTAATAGATTATCTTTCAATAAAATATTTGTAATTGATTTGTAAAAGATGTTTTAATGCATTTTTGGCCTGGGTTTTTGTTGCATGACACCATTCTGACCAGCAGGCGTCACCAGCGTGTGGCGTTTCGAGCGCTTCGAGAAAGTGAATGATTTTGTGAAGCAGTGTAACTTAATTGATTCAAAACTTTTCAGCTTCTTACTGTTATTTGCTCCCATCACCAGTGACACACGTTTTTATTAAGTTGAACTTCTTTTAACTTGATGATAGAATCCCGTTTTACGCACGAGGCACGAGTGCAAAAGTCAAATAAGTCGGGTCTATCGTGTGTTGTATTGGAAAAACAATAGAAACGCTTCAAATGATTGCAAAAAGACGTTTTGTATAAACAGTCACGTACAATGTAAAAATCTTTAACAATATTAAAACTGAAGTTCTCTGGGGACGTTTTACTAAAAATGATGTTTGTATAAAACCATAGACTGTATAAAAACATGGACGTAGTGTCCGTGACGTCACCTGTAGATTTCCGAAGAGCGTTTTTGAAGCTCAAAAGTGGGCGGAGGCGGCCGTCGCCATCTTGGCAGCGCGTCACCGCGCGTCACTCCCGGATAATCGAAAATGGGCAAAGAGGCGGTAGCAGGTTGCTGAAGCCACGCCCACCTAACTCGACGGTGGTGAAAGCAGCGACAATCCACCTGTCACTCAAGTGACCACGCACTTAATTATGCAGAACTTTAAGGCTTAATATAATTTAAACGGATGAGTTATAAAAAAATTCACCCCCCTCACAGTTGTCATGAAGGGCAAAATTAGCTATATAAACCAAAATCATTTTTTGAACCAGGCTGTAAACATGTTTTTTTCTGCTGTAAAGTTGGGCATTTTAACATGGGGAGTGTATGGGATTGACTCCCTTTTGCAGCCAGCCTCTAGCGGCCAGTTGATGAATTACAGTTTAAGTCACTTCCTTGTTGGCTTCACGAGAGAGAGCGGGAGGTTGCCGCTTGTATAAAACAAAAGAGCGCCCAAGCTATACATACTACGGTGGCCGAGAATGAAAAGGGAGGGAAAAAAAGTTCGGCAAAAGATGGGATCGAACCCAGGTCGATCGCGTCAAAAAGCCAATGATACACGCTTATCCATCTGCGCCACTGGAGCTGATGATTTACATCTACTTTTAACTAAATGTAAATAGACACCCCGTATTTTTTATTCCAGAGTAAGGGCAATTCATACAATACATTTAAACTGAGCTACTTTAATACCATCGCCGAACTTTCTACCACGACTCTGCTGTTCTTCGGCTGGTTCTTCCCTGTATACGTTGATTGACAGATGTCTTGTCCAGTCAGCGGTGAGTAATCCCAAACCAATGGCGCCGTCTCAAACTATACCTACCTCTTCCGGTTTGTCTGATTTGTCGTTGTGTTTTCTGACTTGTTATTTTGTTTTCGAATTTGTCATTGTGTTTTATGACCTGTTATAATATTTTCTGAATTGTTGTTGTGCTTTCTGAATTGTTATTTTGTTTTTTAGACTTGCATTTGCGTTTGTAATTTGTTATTTTGTTTTCAGAATTGTGATTTGCTCTGCACTTCTCGTCCACCGTAACATACACCTCGTTGTCATTGATAAGTATAAGGAAATATCCGATCGCTGGATGGCGCTATTGACCAATTAATCTAGTATTCCAAAGGACCGTGTGACAATAGTTTAAAACCCCACTGATTATAGCAATGAATTGTAATGTTTGATAATACTGTGTTATGACGTTATGAGATATCCTAATGCAAACCCACTTTATCCGGTTTTAAACCACACCTTTTTACCAGAACAAAGCTATTTGGTACTAGTTCATGTGTCTGGTCTTGATATGGTTATGTAATTAAAGACTTCCTAATTTTAGAGAAGATTTCATATCCATATGGACAACACATGCTCTCACACACAGGTTACAAAGCCAAAATTGCTCTGTTGTTGCATGAGATTTAATTTCTGATCAAGAACACTAAAATATTTACCTTTATATAGGCTACCCTTTAATTTTTTTTTAATTCTTCGTTAAATGCTGTGAAAAACTGGGAGGGGGGCATTTTTTGAATTTTTTTGGCATATATTTAACCAACCAAGTAGACAGAAGTGTGTCATGTTAAACTTCAAGTAAAACTAGTTTAAACAAGTCTAATTCTTGGATAATTATTATGCATGCAGTTTTATGACTTTGTAGGCTTTGTAAGTTTAGGATTGAAAACATTATTTAAACAGAAATTAAAGTACATTTCTGGCATTCTGAAAAACAGAAGTTTGGTTACTTAAAATTGTAGACTAGAGACAGATCAAATCACAATTTCTCCTCACGATGGCGCAGTTTTTTATTGTTGCTGTTGAACTTTGTTCTACATTTTACAGGTCTAGGATGTCTTCCAGCATTGCTATTTCCCAATCACTCTGAGTAAAGGCTGCAGAAGTTCCTTAAACTGACTTTTAAACACCTTAAGTTCCAGTCTCCATCATGTTAAGGGTCAGAGGAGTATGACAGCGAGGAACATTCTCTGCTTTCTGTCCTGTAGAGCTGCTGGCATTTCATGAAACCAGGTGAGTTCGAGCTTAATTCACTGAGAAAACAAAAGCTAGTTTTTATTTGGCTGATTTGTTTGTGTCATTTATTGCTGCATGGCTTAAACTCCATGTTGTAGTCTCGACTGATAGAAGGTTTAAAGTGAAATACAGGTTAAGAGTTTCTGGTGTGGATCACATCATCAAAAGTCAAATGTGTTTTTGTTCCAGTCAAGTTTTATTATTATTGTAAGTGTCTTACACTCTTAAAAATAAAGGTGCTTCAAACGGTTCTTCAAGCGATGCCATAGAAGAACCATTTTTGGTTCCACAAAGAACCATTCAGTCAAAGGTTCTTTAAAGAACCATCTCTTTCTTACCTTTTTGTAATCTGAAGAACCTTCTTTCGCCACAAAGAACCTTTTGTGAAACAGAAAGGTTCTTCAGATGTTAAAGGTTATTTATGGAACCATTTAGACAAAAAGGTTCTTCTATGGCATCGTGAAGCACCTTTATTTTTAAGAGTGTATAATAAATAAATATTTCTGTTTAAAGGTTATTATATTCATTTTCCCCCAGTCGTGTAGTGTACGCAGTGGAAGTGGTCTGGTCCGTGTGGTTATGGAGGGGTTTTGGGCTGTGTTTTCCCCTGTGCTGAGGGTCTGGTTTACCAGTTTGGTGGTCCTGATCATGCTGCCTGCCATGTTTGGGATCTCGCTTGGCATCACTGAGACCTACATGAAGATCCTTATCAAAACCTTAGAGGTAGGTGAGATGGTAAAAATTGTTAATTGAAATAAAAAATGTATAGTATAAGAAAAACTTTAAAATTAGAGATAAAAATCAGTTGCCTTAGTAAATAACTGAAATACGTAAGTTGACATACTAAATTACAAATAACTAAAACTGAATTTTTTAGTTTAGAAAAACTGAAACTATTTAGAAATATAAAAAACAAACTAATAAAAATGGCAAAAGCACAACAAAAAAATTAACTAAAATAAAATATTAAATATAAAATGTTAATCAAACTATGAAGTATATAAATAATAATATTTACATATTTACGGGCATAAAATTAAAGGATATATTATGACTATGACCTTTTTTGCATCAAGTTTTATCAAAATGCTGTAACTTTCTGTGCTATAGGATAATATTAACCAATAGACAAATAGCTATTTCACATTTTGTCTTGCTCCATTCTACTTTTTAAAACCCAGTTGTCTTCCTATCAGCTCCTAAAAGATAAAATCAAGTCATGCCCTACTTTTTTTTTTCATTACAGAAGTAAAATGGGTTACAAAGCCATTTAGTTCACTTTGGCTTCCCACTGTTTTTAATCACTCTGTAGCTGCAAATAGTAGACCTGTAGTAATAAATTTGTGAAAGCACAAATACTTCATGTAGTCTCTCAGTTGATATGAGCTCATAAAAACTGCATATATATTAATTACACATGATTTAGACATGATATGTTTTAAAAAGCTTTAAGAAGTACAGCATGACACTCCAGAACACTACTTGACATGCTAAGTCTCCCAGGACTCTAAGCTATTGCACACTGTCACCAAGGGGAAATGAAACAGTTTTGTTGACCAATGAACACTGTGGCATAATCAGATGGTATATATTTCTCAAACTGAAATGTGCTGTGTCATCACATTGTTAAGTGCCCTTTGGTCTTAATTGTGATTGATTATGCAAGTTCAGGAACAAATGGAATCATACAGTATATATTAAGATTTTGCCTGGTGTTTTTGCAGTGGGCAACACACAGAATCCAAAGGGCAAGTAGAGCAGAGGAGATACTGAAACATTCCGCATCAAATGGTGAGTTTATACAGCTACAGTCACAAACACATCTGGATCCAGGTGTTTTAAAACCAAATAAAATAAAATAGGATTTATACCCCCTCCCCCCTCAAATCTAAATTCTGTCACCTTGTCTCTTATGCTCACCAAGGCTGCATTTATTTGATTCAAATTACAGTAAAAATTGTGAAAAATTATTACAGTTTAAAATAAATGTTTTCTATCATAATGTATTTTAAAATGTAATTAATTTTTGTGATGCAATGCTGAATTTTCAGCATCATTACTCCAGTCTTCGGTGTCACATGATCCTTCAGAAATCATTGTAATTTGCTGATTTGCTGCTCATAAAACATTTCTTATTATTAGCCATATTGAAATCAGTTTAGCTTTATATTTGAATCAATTTAATGCATCCCTGATGAATACAAGTATTAATTTCTTTAAAAATAAAAATGAATGACCCCAAACGTTTAAATGGTAGTGTATACCGTTTTTCGTTTCCATGCTGCTCTGTTCCAATCTCCAACAAGTACAAAAAAACACCATAAATCACCATGAAAGTGGTACATATACCTTGTTCGCTTTATATTAAGTCATTTGAAGTCATTTGATAACTTTGTGTGAGGAAGTCTGAATTTTAAATCATTATTGACAATATCAAACTTCATTTGATATCATTTTTTAAGCTGAATGCAAATGAGATTGCAGATCTTTGACATGTGGAAGATTATCAGTGAATAATGTCTTAAACCTCAGTCTGTTCCTCACTGTTTAAAGGGGTCATAGGATGCTACATGCACTTTTACAAGTTGTTTGAACTGAAATGTGTGTTGGCAGTGTGTACACAACCACCCTATAATGATAAAAATCCACCCAGTGTTTTTTTTTTTATCTGGTTAAATGTTTTCCCCTTTCTCAAATCGAGCCGATCTCAGATGCCTGTCTGTGTGACATCACAAAAACAGGCCCCTCCCACGGTAATTGATTGACAGTAGCGTTTCAGCACAGACTGGACTTGCGTCTTACCTTAGACCCGCCTGAGTGAGCTGTCATCAGTCCGCCATTGTTTCACCGCCGGAGCAGATGTAGACAAGAATGACTCCTGAGCGATTGAGGTGTTCTGTTGTTGGATGTAATATGAACAGCACTCGTCATTTACTCCCGACGTCTGAGCCACTGAAGACGCAGGTGGATTACATTGTTTCTGAAGGGAATGTGCCCCCGATCTACATAAATGCGTCTATGTTCGCGCGAATCATTTTATGATCCAGCCTCATCTACAGAAGAAGTGAGTATAAGGTTTTGTAATGAATCTTTGCAAATCGCCTTTCCTAATAATGTGCTAATTAGCAAGTTTCACGATGAATGCGGCTGAAGTAAACGGTCTCTCTGAGAGCAGCTCGGAAGAGAGGGGCGGGGTCAGCAGAGCTCATTAACATTTAGTTCATTAACATTTAAAGGAAAATGCTACAAAAACGGCCTGATTTGAAAAGATGTTTTTTCAAAAAAGGTGTTTTTTACACTACCATTGAGAAATTTTAACCAAACTATGTTACAGACTTTTCATTAAGACCCTAAAGAATCATATCAACTTGTGGAAAATGGGCATCCGATGACCCCTTTAAAGTCCGTGTAAAGAGAATTCTGAGGATTGTTTCTAAACACATTATAAATGTTAGAAATGTAAAATACATTACAAAGACTCTGAAGTATGTAGTACTGAATTGTGGAGTTAAACCGTTAAACAGTTTTTCACCAATTCGGTGTTCAAGATTTTTTGGGCGGGGCTAAAACGGTGGCTCAATGACGCAATGGAGCCACCGAGCATGGCCCCTCCCCTAACACTGTAAGAGGTGTGTTCGACTTGAAGCAGCACTGCGCAGATCGATCCGTGTGTGACATCAAAGTACAGAGCTAATAGAGAGCAAACGGCTCCTCATGCTTTCGAATCGCTCTCGTGCCATACACTGATTCTTCTGCACAGTCCTGCTTCAAGTCGAACACACCTAATAACTACAGCGCAGTGGTTTGCCCGCTCAATCGCAAGTTACTGCCGTCCGTTACTATAGCCTAGAGCAGGGGTGCCCAAACTCAGTCCTGGAGGGCCAGTGTCCTGCAGAGTTTAGATCCAACTTACCTCAACACACCTGCCGCAAAGTTTCTAGTATGTCTAGTAAGAGCTTGATTAGCTGTTTCAGGTGTGTTAATTGGGGTTGGAGCTAAACTCTGGGCCCTCCAGATCGCAAGTTACTGCCGTTCGTTAGGCTAGAGGTTGCTAGCTAGCTATGCCTTTGTCACGTAAATGCATAATACCTGGTTGCAATAATTTACAAAACAGCTCGGTTTCCTCATTTAAATAAGCTGCAGAGGAAGACAGTTGAGAGAGAGACGGCAGCTTTTCTGTGAGTGGGCGTGGTTTCAGCGCCGCCAGCGGACACGCCCCCAGCGTCTGAGAGCAGAGAATACTGCTTATTTTTTCAAGATTTTGATAGCTTATTTTATTCACTTGGCGGTTTTTTTAGCATTCAAATTTGGCTGGGTGGTTAATAACACATTTTTCTGTGATGTGATAAACTCAGAACACACATCTGTCTGCACAGTGTGCGTGAATGCGCTGATGACGTATCCTGTCTGCGCGAACCGGGTGCGCAGAGGTATGCTAACACATACCTTGACAGGCAGGTAGGAAAGCTTATTAAAACGCTCGGACCGAGCGTTTTGATTGGACGAACATTTCTTGGTCCTACGCCTTCCACAGAATATATAAATACAGATGAATACATTTAGACCACTTAACTTAATGATTGCTATCGGGATGTGAAGAGACTTTCAACCAGCATAACAAAAAATTTTTCTGAAGACAATCACCTATTGCACCTTTAAGGATTACTCAGGATTTCAGTTTTTGCTTTCAATGGAAAAAAGAGCTGCTGTCTTTTCTATTTCTTTCCTCATGTTCTTGTAAAAGTCAACAGCATTTTTAGTTTTGCTGCACGATGGCTGTTTCCCTCTAGATATGATCAGTGATCTGACAAGACACAAGCAGTGCTCTGAGATCTCTCAGTTTATCTGGCTACTCAAGTAATCACACATTACACGATGACTACAGTTTTTCTCTCTCTCTCTCTCTCACTCGATCACAGTGGACTTTAGCCCGTCTTTATCAGTTACACCCTGCATTAGATTTATAAACGCTCTTTATCAATACCTCACTGATCTTCACTGATTAATCAACATCTTAGCTGATGAAAGCGTTACTGATTATACCCAGTTATAAAGTGTGTCTTGTTTGAATGTGTTTCTTAAGATGGCACAGAATGGACACTGTAAACTTTGTGCTTGCATCATATTAAAGCAATAGTTCACCCAAAAATTAAGTCTGTCATCATTTACTAATGTTTACATTATACTGTAATGTAAGTGATTGGGCTAGACACGTTCAAGCTCAAAATACACCATTCAAATACACTGCATTACTGATTTTTAGAAATTAATACTTTTATTGAGCAAGGACACGTTAAATTGCTCAAAAGTGACAATGAAGACATTGTTGCAAAAGATTACTATTTTGAATCAATGTTGCTCTTTTCAACTTTCTATTCATCCAAGAATACTATAAAACGTTTGAGTGATTTCTAAAGGATCATGTGACACTGAAGACTGGAGAAATGATGCTGAAAATTCAGCTTTGTATCACTGGAATAGATCACATTTGAAAATATATTCAACTAGAAAACAGTTCTTTTAAATTGTAATAATATTTCACAATGTTACAGAATTTTAAAAAAGCAAATAAATGCAGCTTTGGTGAGCATAAGAGACTTTCATTATTTCATTATTGATAATAATTAACCAGCACTTTTGTCTGTGTTATTCAGGTTTAATTCAGCGGGATAATTCGTCTTTGGAGCAGGAGATCGAGGAGTTGCGTCGGAACAGGCCAAAGTCAGCCGAGCGTGGAGACTTCACTCTGAGCGACGTCCTGTACTTCACCAGGAAAGGCATTGAGAGCATTGTGGAAGACGATGTCACGCAGAGATTCACCTCAGAGGAGCTGGTGTCCTGGAACCTCCTCACCCGATCCAACAACAACTTCCAGTACATCTCTCTCAGGCTCACTGTACTGTGGGGAGTTGGCGTGGTCGTGAGATACTGCATACTGCTTCCTCTACGGTAGAGTACTATTTCATTCATACTTTATAGCTGGTAAACTACTGTTCAAATGTTTGGGGTCTTTTTTTTTTAGGATATTAATACTTTATTTCAACAAGAATGCATTAAATTGATCAAAAGTGACAGTAAAAAAATTGTGTTAAGTTGTTATTTCTATTTTGAATAAATGCTGTGCTTTTGAACTTTTTAAAAATCAAAGAATCCTGCATCACGGTTTCCACAAAAATCTTAAGCGTCACAACTGTTTTCAACATTGACAATAATAAGAAATGTTTTTTGAGCGGCAAATCGGCATTTTAGAATGAAGGATCATGTGACACTGAAGACTGGAGTAATGATGCTGAAAATTCAGCTTTACATCACAAGAATAAATTACATTTTACAATATATTCAAATAGAGTACAGTTATTTTAAATTCTAATAATATTTAGCAAAATGACTGTTTTTACTGTATTTTTGATCAAATAAATGCAGCCTTGGTGAGCAGAAGAGACTTCTTTCAAAAACATTTGAGCGGTACTTAAGTATATTGGTGAGATTCAGTGCTTTGTTCTTTTCTTGGCAGTATATTGTAAGTCAGTCTGAAAACAGAAAAAGTGTCGTAATGTTTTTCACTGAAAATCATGCACCTGTCCTTCTGTTATCTGTAGGATTACACTTACAGCTATAGGGCTGAGCTGGTTGGTGATTGGCACAACGATGGTGGGTTTCCTCCCCAATTTCAGGTAATGCTTTAGTGCTGTTATCAGCTTTACAAATGCAAGAATAATTCATAATTGACAATTCCAGTTGTTCTCTGTTGGTCATAAGCCTAAGTACCATTGGTACCATTGGCTTACTATGCAGCAGTTCTGGTAGTGCTTATTAATCATCACCATAGTCTTTGTTAACTCGTTATGTATGGGATGTACAGTATGTTATGAAATATTCTGATGGCAATGTTTTTGTACTCAACCTGAGGCATCTATGTCACTTTTTAATTGTATGTTAAGTACAGTAAATTCAGTTTTCAAGACTTCACATTTTCACTAGCATAATATAGGCAGTACTATTTTAGTGTATATATGCACAGTATATACACACATTTTAATTTTTAGTTTCATTTAGTTTTTCTTTAAGTTTTAGTAATTTTGTCATGTGTTTTTTTATATTTCTATTTTTAAATATTTCTATTCAGGTTGCATTTAAGTTTTAATTTTTTATATAATATAAAAATTTTTGTTGTTCAAATAGGTTTGTTCAAAAATATTTTTTTTACATTATTTCTTACAAACATGATGCCAGTTATAGCTAATTGCATGGTATCACAGTTTTATTCCTAGTAACAATTCAGTGTTAAGATTTACATCAAAAGAGATTTTTTTTTTTTTTGCAAAGGAAAAAGCCCTTTATTTGCAGAATAATTTTTAATCAATGCTGAATGATGAAAAATGCACTTTAACCTTTTTAACAATGGACATCTTCAGTCCATTTTTATAGTTGTTTTTGTCTGGGCGTATTCGTTAAAGTGTTGTTTAATCCTAATCACATTCATTACAATCCTCTGTTGTTTCAGAGTGAAGGGTTGGTTGAGTGACCTGGTCCACTTGATGTGCTACAGGATCTGTGCAAGAGGCCTTTCAGCTACGATTCACTATCACAACAAGTGAGTTCAGGGCTCCATTTAACAACAACCGGTCTAATCAAGTAACAATAATATGGTTTAGACTTGTACAGACACTATACTAATAGTTTATTCAGACAGAACAGGCCTAAGAGAGGAGGCATCTGTGTAGCTAATCACACTTCGCCAATTGATGTCGTTATTCTGGCTAATGACGGCTGTTATGCAATGGTGAGTGAGATAACTCTTCAGTGGAATGATTCTTAAATCTTGGTATTTGTACTCTCATACAGGGTTGTACAGGTTTCTATGCACTTTTATCTTCTCTTTTAATTGTATATTGCGCTCAGGACTGCAGTTTTACTTGATATGATTTTGAGTGAATATGACTTAAATTACAATCTGTTTTTCCCATTAAGCAATCAGATAATTTCAGAAGATTAGGAATGGCGTACATAAATCATATAGACTACTTTGATGATACTTCTTGTGCTTTTTGGAATTAAAGGGATAGTTCACCCAAAAATGAAAATTTGATGTTTATCTGCTTACCCCCAGGGCATCCAAGATGTAGGTGACTTTGTTTCTTCAGTAGAACACATATGATGATTTTTAACTTTAACCGTTGCAGTCTATCAGTCGTATAATGCATGGCAATGGTAACAAAATCTATGAGAGTAAAAAAAACATGCACAGACAAATCCAAATTAAACCCTGCGGCTCGTGACGACACATTGATGTCCTAAGACACGAAACGATCGGTTTGTGCCAGAAACCGAACAAACTTTTTTTTTTTTTAAACAGGTAGGACAGGTTCATGGTGGTTTAATGGGAGTCCTCCAGCGTGCAATGGAGAGATCTTGCCCTCATATCTGGTTTGAGAGAGCAGAGATGAGAGACCGCCACCTAGTGACACAAAGGTAAAAACAACAATAATGATGTTCTATTATTGTTAATCAAGCAGAGCACTACAAAACTATATATATATTCATGATTTTCAAACATTTTTTTTTACTTCTGTTTCATTTTACTACAGTATAAATCTGCATATATGCATGCATATATTCCTCCGCATATTTTCTTAGACAACATACCTCCCTGTTGCATGCTGGGTCATGTCTGTCTGAGTCAGCTGCTATGTGCCTCACAGCACAACAGAAACACGTTTATTTAAAACCAACACACAGTGTTCTGACATGCATTGAGGACTTTTGGAAATTACATTGCACAGACACACAAATACTTGTACATCCATAATATAAATCATGTTTCATACATAGTTACGGGAGCTGATATTACAGTTTAGTATCATTTCAAGCACAGACAATCTCTGCAATACTATATTTTGGTTAAATGTCAGTCTGTTTCTTTATGACCGTACTGGTCACATTTTAGTTTGGGGACCAGTTCTCACTATTAATTAACTATTAACTACTACTTCTGTCTCAGTAAACTCCTAATTTGCAGCTTATTTATAGTTGGTAATGTAGTTGTTAAATTTAGGTATGGGGTAGGATTAAGGGATCTAAAATATGGTCATGCAGAATAAGGCATTAATATGTGCTTTAAAGGGGTCATATGATGCGATTTAATTTTTTCCTTTCTCTTTAGAGTGTTACAAGCTCTTGGTGCATAAAGAAGATCTGTAAAGTTGCAAAGACTAAAGTCTCAAATCCAAAGAGATATTCTTTATAAAAGTTAAGAGTTAGCCACACCTACCTAAAACGGCTCGTTCGATATATATATATACAATATGAGGAAGAGATGGAAAAATTGATAAACTGCACAAATCACAACATGAAACTATATATATATATATATAGTTTCATGTTGTGATTTGTGCAGTTTATCAAGTTTTCCATCTCTTCCTAATACTGCCTTTGATTACATGCTGGTCTATTCATCTTTCTTGTTTTCCTTCCCAGGTTAAGAGATCATGTAAATGACAAAACAAAGCTGCCAATACTCATCTTCCCTGAGGGTAAGTGCATAATAACAATGAGAAACACACTGAGATACCGTTTCAGTCGTATTTCAGGTCCTGCTCTACAGCATTGTTTCTAAAGCTCAACGGTTGAAGTTTAATACTTGCACCTGGTTGCCCCTGCAGGAACTTGCATCAATAATACATCAGTAATGATGTTTAAAAAGGGAAGTTTTGAAATTGGAGGAACTATCTCAGGTCCGGCAGGAATTGTAGGTGGGGGGAGTGAATGTACAGCGCTCTCTTCCACCTTCAATACCACAACTGAGGTGCCCTTGAGCAAGGCACCGAACCCCCAACTGCTCCCCGGGCGCCGCAGCATAAATGGCTGCCCACTGCTCCGGGTGTGTGTTCACAGTGTGTGTGTGTTCACTGCTGTGTGTGTGCACTTAGGATGGGATAATTCCTAGTATGGGTCACCATACTTGGCCACATGTCACGTCACTTTCTAAATGGCACTTATTTGAATTTTTTATATTTTTTTTGTAACAGTATATGACGTGTCTTTACTGTCACTTTTAATCAGTTTATTGCATCCTTGCTGAATAAAGGTAAAAATTACTTTAAAAAATAAATTACCCAAAACGTCTGAATGGTAGTGTATTGTAGTTTCTATAAAACATATGAATTGTTTTCAACATTGATTAAATTAAGAAATGTTTTTTGAGCATCAAATCAGCATATTAGAATGATTTCTGAAGGATCATGTGACACTGAAGTGAAGACTGGAGTAATGATGCTGAAAATTCAACTTTGCATCAGGAATAAATTACATTTTAAAATATATTTGATTAAAAAAACGGTTATTTGAAATTTTAGTAATATTTCACAATATTACTGTTTTTCCTATATTTTTTATCAAATAAATGCAGCTTTGGTGAGCATAAGAGACTTATTGTCTGTCAAGAACATAAAAAAAATCTTAATTACTCCAAACTTTTGGCCAATAGTGTGTGTGTGTGTGTGTAATATTATACTATATTATATTTGTATATATATATATATATGTTATAATATATCCTTTAAATTATTTCATGTACAAAATTATTCTAAAAATATTTCCTGTAGTAACTGATTAATTTGATAATACAATTGAAAATAAATCAGTAACATACAAAGTATATTGTGTTTTGGTCCCATGTTGCAATAAACTTCATAGTGTGTGTGTGTTTGTATATTGACCTACTATGACCCTCATGCAGTGTCTGTGTGTGTGTGTGTGTGTTATATATAGTATGACCCTCAGTTTGGAGATGCTTTCTGGAACAGCAGCAAATATAGCATGGTGAGCTATCTGCTGCGGATGATGACGAGCTGGGCCATAGTCTGCAACGTCTGGTATCTGCCTCCAATGGCGCAGAAGGTGAGAGCTCAAGCTGTAAAGTGTAAAATAGCTGTAGCTTTTTGTAGCACGATGTTGATGTGATTAATTACGCCCTCACTGACTCATTTCCTGTGCACACAGGAAGGAGAGGATGCTGTGCAGTTTGCCAACAGGGTGAAATCAACCATTGCACAACAAGGAGGTTTAGTGGACTTGGACTGGTGTGTAAAAGAGTTTGTCTTTAGCTGTCTTGCAGCTACAATGATTGAATTTAAAGGGATAGTTCACCCAAAAATGAAAATTTTGTGTATGTTTTTTTGACTCTCAAAGCCGTGATTCCCATTCACTTCCATTATATGACTGACAGACTGCAACGGTTTGAGTTAAAAATCTTTGTTTGTGTTCTACTGAAGAAACAAAGTCACCTACATCTTGGATGCCCTGGGGGTAAGCGGATAAACATCAAATTTTCATTTTTGGGTGAACTATGAACTAAAGGTTTATTACTGTGTCTCACAGGGATGGGGGTCTGAAGAGGGCAAAGGTGAAGGATTCGTTTAAGGAGCAACAGCAGAAGAAGTACAGCCACATGGTGGTGGGTGATGACAGCAGTGACTGAACACAAAGATCTTCTCGTTCACCAATCACTGGAAATACGTCAACTTGTTGACAAAAGTACAGGAGGGTCTATTTATACTACTGCTGCTAAAATACATTTGAAAGATATTTATAAATGGGGGATAAATAAAAATTAATATGCATTGCAAATGTTATAGATCCCAGTTTCATATGGGCTGCCCTGCTTTTCTGTGAAGAGTTGTATTTGCCAGAATATTCATTGGGTGAAAAAGCTTTTGAGTCTGAATGATTCCAGTTTTTGAATTTAAAATGTATAAAAAGGACAAAATTATAAATGTGTGATTGGGGTAATATTGAGTTCAGGACATGATCATTTATTTTTCAGAGCAAATAAACTTTTGTGCTTTTTTAACATTTGTTTCTTGTCAGATATACAGTATCTAGTATGGTGATTAATTACTGACAAAATTTACATCTTTTTGTTTTGTTTTTTTTAACTCAGGGTTCCCACAGCCATAAAAACCTGGAAATAGGGATAAATTATGATTTTCAGGAAAAGTGAAATCTTAAGAAGCTATTTCTATAGTCAATATATCTTTTTCTATTTTATTTTCTAGTTTTTTTAAACTTGTGAAGTGAGACAGCGTTAGTTGTTAGATAGGGCATACAGATTTCAATTTTATCATCAATTATCACAAAACATCTTATTAAATAGAGGAAAAAATATATATATAAAAAGAAAAAGCATACTGCAAAGAAACAATGTTAAGGAAAAAAATGGTCTATTTTTTCAAGTATGTAATTTTCTTTAACTTGTATGTGAGACAGCATTGGATAATGCAGTAGAAAATGTCACAGTAGGTAATGCAGATTTTTAAATTTTATCAATTGCCACAAAATGTCTCATTATACAGGAAAATATTCCGACAAAACATACTGCAAATAAACAATTTTAAAGAATAAATTAATGCTATTTATGCTCAGATCTAAATTATTTAATTAGCTAAAAGTTGTTCTTTGGGATAGCAATCTGCAAAATGTTTTTAATACCTAAATCATCGCAAATTACTGGAGAATTTGTGGAAATGCCTTTCTCAGAAGTTGTGGGAACCCTGTAAAATGTCAGTGGCCGTATGCTTTTATTTGTTTTTTCACTTGTGATCAGGTCTGTCACATCTTATGTATACTTGAGCATACAGTAAAACTGATTACAAGCAAGTAATGACTAACCAAACACAACTTATTATAAGTTCAATATCTGAAATCTTTTATTTGATCTTGGCAGGCTAAACATTGTTCAGCAACTGAAGCTGCAGCTTGTTTACTTCACATTTTATTATCGCCACATCTGTATTAGAGGTGTTGCTGTCTAGCTGTGTTTTACAACACACTAAACTGAACCATTTGCTCATACTTGGCACACTTTCTCTGTGTGAACAGTCAAAGTTGCAAAAGGCACTATGGGTAAAATTGTTTTTCTGCCTGTGCGCTGGTGTGAATCCAGCACCATATTACAGTATACAGACTGTGGTCTACATTGAATCTGCTAGTGCTGTTTTAAGTTTATTGCAAACCCGTTTCACAGAAATTTTGCAAAATGCTCATTTAGTATTGCTTTAAACTGGCCAAAATATAGATTCATACTTTTTTCCATGCCTAATGTTTATTTTCAAACCTGAACTTATGAAGTGACACAGTGTCATCATCAGTTGTCACATAACGCCTTAATAAATAGAGGGGGAAAAAATATTAAACAATGTTAAGGAATAAAAATAATACTGTTAATACAACAAAATCAATATGGTAATATGGCATTTAAATTTGCATTTTCCAATAAGTTCTATCCACTGAAATGATTATGACTGGCAAGTGTTTATCAGTGAGGTAAGTCTTAATGATTTTCTGTATGATAAGCAATGTTATAACATAATGCACGTGGAGGATTTTTTGGATTCTTTGTCTTCATTATCTTCAGCATCTGCCCCAGTCCTGTGTTTAGTACCTTTTTTTGGACCAGGAACTGCACACACAGAAAAATACATAAACATTACCCACATCTGATAAGTTAAAGTTGGATTTTTTATTTATTTGGACGTCTTACCTTGTCTGGAACCACCAACACGTCCCTTCCCAAGACCACTGACGTGCGCTTGGTCATTATTTGCATTCTGCATGAAGAAAGCACGTTTGTTATAATTTCTCAAATAATTTGCAATACCTATTTTTAAAAAATGTTATCAGAATAGTTCATCCAAAAATGAAAATGTCTTCATTTATTCTCCAAAAATGAACAAACTTTCATAAAATGCCTAAGAACTCAACTTACATACTGGTAAAAAATGTATAGCCTGAATGCACTGTAAGTCGCTTTGGATAAAAGCGTCTGCTAAATGCATAAATGATTATTAATTAAATGCATAACTTGACTGTCTCAGTTCCTTTCTACTTTCATTCAATTCAAATAATAACAATTTCCATTTTTGTTTGTGTGAACTATTTCTTTAATGAATGTAACGTACCATCAGAGACTTTTCAAGCATCAATCTTTTCTCTTCTGGAAGGGTTCTGTAATACCTGTGAATGGATACTCGAATTATATCATTTATAACACAGCATCCCAACGTTCTATAACACAGATACCAACCAGTCTGCCATATTTCATTATAATAAAACCTTTTTTTGTTAAATGTATTAGAAATGTAGTATATAAGCTTAACTCACCTCTTCAGATAGGAATCTTGATTCCCATCCGTCTCTGTAGCACGAGAGGAACCAGACATCTCTCCAGCTACATATTAATAACACAATGCACCAAAACACTCACAATCTTTAAGTTCATTTACACCCAAAACAACCAAGAGAGCATAAGCAGGCCCTGAACTAATATATGTATTGTTAAAATGTCATAGATATCATTTCTGTCCACTCAAACAACCTTGTCCTATAGTGCCAGTGGAGGTTTTTGTTGTTGTTTCCGTAGCAACAGGGCCCCATATACCAGAAGAGTTTGAATGTCCACAAAGGGGTGTGTCATATAAAGAGGTGGAGGAGCAGATCATTTCACCCTGGGCCAAACTTTTGGGTGTAAAATTGTTTTCAGTTTCAGTGTGAAGTCAGGCACCTGGTCTAAAGAGATAGATAGACAGACAGACAGAGACAGATAGATAGATATATAGATAGACAGACAGACAGACAGATAGATACAATAACTAATAAATATGAGAAAAACAACAAACCTGATAATACTATAATTCAAAATATATATATATAAAAAAAAAACTATAATAGTATTTTAATGATACTAAAATAAGCAGATAGATAGACAGACAGACAGACAGACAGATAGATAGATAGATAGTATTCATTCACGGTCCCTATAATTTCATAAATGTGAAGTTGTGTATCATAGTTTAATGACATTAAAATCAATTTAAATGTGGAGTGAAAGAAACGAAAATATTTAACAGAAACAGTAGCGCATAGCCTCCAACCGGAAGCCTTCTCGCACTGAGCGGAAGCGCAGCGGTTCCAGCTGTTATTGTTGACAGACGGAGTTTCGTGGAGAAAATGGCGGTGCCCCGTCGATCCTCACAGCACCAACAAAGCAGCCTGCAGCCGTCTCCGCGGAACGCCGTTATCGCATCCCCCCCACCGGAATTGCCGTCCGCGATTATTCCCGAATCGACGACTTTATTGAGCCCCTCGGCCACTGGCGCAGCGGAATGCGGCGGAGCCACGATGGAGTCCGCAGCGGCCTCCTCCGCCTCTTCCCCAGACCGGCCCGCCCCAGCAACAGCAGCGGCCGCGCTCGGCAGCTCCAGCTGCAGCAGCATTAGCTCCAGCGCGACCGCAGGCAGCCAGAGCCCCGGCTCAGGGGCGGCCAGTCCCGGGGACGGAGTGTGCGGGGCCGGCGGGGCGTTCAGAGAGCTGTTCGAGGCCTGTCGGAACGGAGATGTGTCTCGGGTGAAGAGGCTGGTGGACTCGGTGAATGTGAACGCCAAAGACATGGCCGGACGAAAATCAACCCCTCTGCATTTCGCTGCAGGTCTGTATTTATGTATTTGCTAAATATATTCCGTTTTTTTTTTTTTTTTGACCTTATAAAAGAACAAAACGTCTCCTTTGTGGATTTTGGTTCCACTAGATTTGGAGTTTATTTATACAGGAATGAGATTTTTCAGTGGAGGTATACGAATATATTCGTATATACAGTTTGTTGTTTTCATACAGAAATTATGTATTTTAAGTTGACTGTAGTGGTTGTGTGTCATGGAATATCATTACATCATGTTTCATTTGGTTCAAATCAACATGAGTAAAATATTATTTTTCATGCGAAGCTGACAGTTGAATTGTACAGTACTAAATTTCCTGTCTGTAAACAATATCTATTCAAACTGTTTAAATTTCATAAATCATAAGTCATAAATCAAATTTAAAATGAACATTGTGGACAGGAAAACAAATTAAATGTTGGTGTTATCTAATTAGGGTGTGCTTTTAAAACCTATAATATAAGTGTGCATTCTGTGAGTCATATGAACTGACTAAATCCATTTCTATTTAGGTATATCTGAAGATTTGCTAACCAGGAGTTCAAAGAAAATTAAATAAAGACATTTATAAGCTTAAAAAGTCAAGCATTTTGTCTTTTGCTGTCAATTAAATGGTCGTCATTCCAAATAAACATTAGCCATGTTCAGTCCTACAGTGTGGACCCTCTGCATAATGAGAGATCTTCATGATCTCATAATGATTGAGGGACTATATGGATTATTTGCACTTAAAATATGTCTGTCACATTGCAGGACCATGAAATTAGCTAAGTAATGACAGCTAGCTATTAAAGTTGATGAATAAAAGACTCAGAATGATGCTTTTTATCAGTATCATCATTAACATATTTTGTTTTGTGTCTCACCAAAAAAGAAAATCAAACGGGTTTGAAATGGCATGGAAATTTTTCACTCATTTTTGGGTGAACTATGCCTTTAAATTAAATATATCCGATAGTTGAGGCATTTCAAAAACTTACACTTTCACAAATATAACATTTTTAGATCAGATATGAATAAGATCTGATATGTCTTTTATCATTCAATTTATCATGTTAGATGTATTGCATTTTAAACGGCTTGTCCTATGCAATGTTCGACAGGCTTTGGCAGAAGGGACGTGGTGGAGCATCTCCTGCAGACCGGAGCAAACGTGCATTCCCGCGACGACGGCGGTCTGATCCCGCTCCATAACGCCTGCTCGTTCGGGCACGCGGAGGTGGTCAGCCTGCTGCTGTGTAGCGGTGCAGACCCCAACGCACGTGACAACTGGAACTACACACCTCTGCACGAGGCCGCCATCAAGGGCAAAATAGACGTGTGCATTGGTATGGATTCATTTGAGAAATGTTATCATTTCATCTGTTTCCAATTATAGTCCAATCAGACCATTTCTGATCATTAAAACAGCTTTAATAAAGACAAATTCTGATGGGCACCAATATATCGTTCGGTTCATCCCTAACAGTGAGGCAGTGAATCAAGTCTAATGAGTCACAGTCCACATTGTGTGGAGTTGCAGCCGTTGTCTAGAGAGCTGATGTGGCGTTCCAGCTTGTTGCAGTGTTGTGATAGTAATGTTGTTGTCCTGCAGTATTTTTCTCCTGCGCCCTGATGTCATAGAGCGCTGCTGAATACCCCTGTGCTGAGACAGTACTCTGTGTGTGTGAGTCTGAGTGAGAAAACGGACAGAATCTCTGAGGTTTGCATTAGTAACATGATGAATGGGTTTGTCCGAATTCGGTGTGTTACTTTGTTTAAAACTATTTCTTCAGAGTTATTTCGCGAGTGTGGAGAGTGACTTATGTGCAGTATATTGGTGATATATCATTATTGGTCAATATTATTATTTTTGTACTGATTAATCTGATATTGAAAACAAAAATTTTCATATGGAAAAATTTTTTTTTTTTGTATTTTAATATAAACCAGGAATCCGAAAAAAACAAGTAAATAAGACCTTTACAAGCTTAAAAAGTTAAGTTGATACATTGTAGCTCCTGCTATTAATTAAACCGATGTCAATTCACATAAACATTACCCATGTTCAGTCCAGCGGTGTGGTTCCTACCACATAACAAGAGGTTTTCAGCATTAGTAATAATAAGCATGCAGTTTTTATGATCTCATATTAATTGAGAGACTGTATGGATTATTCACACTTAAAAAATGTATCTGTCGCACTGCAGGACCATTTAGATTAGCTAACTAATGACAGATAGTTATTAAAGCTGATGTAGAGTGGTGCTTTTTATGACTATCATTAACATTCGGCTAAACATCTTGTTTTGTGTTTAAAGAAGAAAGAAAAAACGAACACTTTCTAAGGTTATTATAGGTGTATAATAACAGTAATTAATTACACTAGGAAACATGAACGAACAATGAACAATACTTCTGCAGCATTTGTTAATCTTAGTTAATTTGTAAATTTCAGCATTTAAAATTAAACATTTAAAGTTTTCTGCTATGCATGTAAGTGTTTTGATTGCTAACTGTGCTAAAACTGCAGAGCTAGTATGACCGCTTTAGGTGGAAAAACAGTGTTGATAATTATACTTATCAACCACAACATACAACATTATCAACTTTTAGTATCAGTGACCGTATTGCTTGCTTCTGTTTCTTACAGTGTTGCTCCAGCACGGCGCTGATCCGAACATCAGAAACACTGACGGCAAATCAGCTCTGGACCTGGCAGACCCTTCTGCTAAGACCGTCCTCACCGGTGAGACACACACACACACACACACACATACATACATATGCACTGATTCAAAACACAAGATCCGTAAGGTTTCGAATCTTCGTGAAGCAGTGAATCGAACTTGCCCGTCAATAACTTCGATTCATGCCCGATGTGGTTCTCGCTCGTGAACTCCAGAACTACGATCGGATCCGGTTTCCGAATTGGAGCTGTAAACTTCAAAGAAAATGTATTGAAAGCAAACATCACTAAGATTAGTATCATGCAACTCCTATTCGAGTCGCAGTCTCTAACACATCGATTCAGCCCGATTTAGTTTAAACGGTTCACTGAAAAGAACCGGTTCAAAATGGCGATTATTTTCGCCTTGTCATGTGATATTAACATGGCAGGCAGCACCTATTACAGTAAGTGTCGCTCCATGTACGTTAAATAGGCTAGCTTTTATTAGGCAACTGACGACTTCAATCTTCATCTCATGTGAGTGTACTTGTTTTTACATTACCAGAATTTTTATAAAGTAAAAATTGATTTGCCTTAAATGTTTGTCTTTAAATGCATATCCCCAATTAATGTGTGTTTCAAGATAGCCAGTACTATTACAGCTGTTTGACATTCTCCCATATTAAAGGACCACTGGGCATTTATAGTGTGTGCTTAGTGCTTTCCCATCAGGACCCTATGAAGAGATTTGTCTCGTGATTTAGGTGAAAATAAAAAGAAACATCAAAGTTTCTCTTTGCTGCTGCTCACAAACTTTAGACTTTTTCTCTTTTCCTCATAAACCCCTAAAATGAGTATTGAAAGCTGAGATATAGTGAATCAATAATGCATCTGCAGGGATTTCAGTGGCTTGGCATGCCTCAAGTGTGTGTGTACGTGTCCACATGAGCGTGTGATCTTTGTGTAGAGCATATTCAGAGGGCAGTGAAGTGTGATGGCCAGCCAGTGGAAGGGGGCTGTTTAAAAGGTATCCATGGATACTGCCTTTCAAGGACACTTTTGAACAGTAGCATTGCAGACCGTCCTCACCGGTGAGACACACACACACACACACACACATACATACATACATACATACATATACATATCTGCTTTACAGTCATTAACAGCACACACAATCTGATGAGCAGACATGTAAAGGCACACTGAATATGTTTTTGTAGTATGCAGTATGCCAATACAGACAGAGCATGCTGTGTGAGTGCTGAAAAATGAAACTAAGGCCATTTACAGCCACATTTCCATGGTACATTAATTGATCGGACAGCTTCATGTTTAAATATTTGCACACAGAGTTGGATTAAAATGCCAACTCTGTGCCACTCACCAAATTAAATATAGTGAGGTTAATGTAACAGCCTTCTGTTTGAAACGTTGCATCCTGCATACCATTTCACGTACTATTTAAAAGAGGTACTGCATGCTAAGCAGAATGTTAGTATTCCAGTCTGAACACAGCCACACTAAAAATATCCACACACATTAATGAATCTTGCAAATCAAGTCTGTCTGACACCTGCTGTCTTTTTTTATTTATCAGGTGAATATAAGAAGGATGAACTGTTGGAGGCAGCGAGGTGAGCTTTTGGCATGCTATAATAATTTAATATCAATGTATTGCTAAAATACATTGGTTTTGAGGGGGGTTTGGATGTTTGTTTGAATTCCTCAGCCGCTTGTTTCTTATGCTGGAGTCCTTTTGGGAAGAATGTGCAGAGCCGTAGGTGCTACACACAACCTGGCATAGTTGTATATTAATGTTTCGAACACTCTGACATCGGAACAGAACGGAAATCCCAAGAATATCAGAATGAGACATTTTTGCCACTTGGTATATAAATGTGTATTGGACAGGGGAAGTATTTTATAAAGTAAATGTAAGAATAACTTTTATACTGTTAGTAATATTTTAAGATGAAAACTTACTGGACTGAACCAACGTAGGTTTACTTGATTATCCATACATCAATTTTTGGAAAAATCATGTTAAAATGTGAGTACCAATTTAGACTTTTGAGGAATGTTTATTTGTTCATCTCTCAATCTTCTTTGTATTGCATTGCATTGTTTTGCCTCATAATACAAACTACAAAGCTTGGAACATAAAACTAAAAATTTAAGTATCATCTTGCAAAGACATATTATTGGAAGATACAGAGTTACGACTGACATTTATATGCTTTTTATGTAAGCTATCTTCTAAATTGTTATGAAGATCTCATTGATTTACATTGCAGAATTTCATCTTATTTTTTGGCCATATAAATTATATGCACCAAATTATATATTTTTGATACCTTTGCGCCTCTGAATAAAATTCTGAAATGAGTAGCAGTATAGTCCAATAGGGCTGTCAAATTTTTTTTCGAATATTCGTCGAATTAAAAAAAAAAAATCCACATTCGAATGCAAAAACGTTGCATTCGAATTTTAGGTCTGCGTCAGGCAGCCTTATCAGTGGCGCACGAAATGCGACGACAATGTAAGTGTCATTGCATTTTAAAGGGGTCATATGATGCGATTTCATTTTTTCCTTTCTCTTTAGAGTGTTACAAGCTCTTGGTGCATAAAGAAGATCTGTAAAGTTGCAAAGACTAAAGTCTCAAATCCAAAGAGATATTCTTTATAAAAGTTAAGAGTTAGCCACACCTACCTAAAACGGCTCGTTCGAACACGCCCCCACATATCTACCTCACTATGTGGGAAGATTTGCATAACGCCGCCCAAATGTTCACGCAAAGAAAGAAGGCGTAACTTTTATTCTCACTGTAGTATTGTTGCCGCTGCCGCCATGTCGTGAAGACGCTGTGTGCTTCGTTGTGAAAGCGAAGCTACTTTGTTTGGTCTTCCAAAAGAGGACGATATCCGCTTCGTCATGCCTAGAGCTGATCCGTGCTGGTCGCTGAGGAAATACATCAACTTAGTGCTGTGGATCGCCGGATCGGCCCTCACCGTTTTCACCGCTCCTTCGCCGGGACCGCCGTTCTCGACCGCCGCCTCAGCTCACTCTTGCCCGGTTTCAGCTCAGGATAAGCCGGGGCTTTCGCTCACGCTAGGCCGCTGTGTTTTTCGTTGTGAAAGCGAAACTACTTTGTTTGATCTTCCAAAAGAGGACGATATCCGCTTCGTCATGCCTAGAGCTGATCTGTGCTGGTCGCTGAGGGAATACATCAACTTAGTGCCGTGGATCGCCGGATTGGCAAAATAATGTTCTTTTTAGCAGCATCATATGACCCCTTTAATGCTTTTGTTAGCCTATCCAGTTGAACCCACTAGATGCAGCGCTGCTACGTTGTTCATTCAATATATAGCGGAAAACGAGAGCATCAGTGTGTCGAAGATGTTGTTTACAGACATATTTATCACATTTTCTAGCTCAAAGATAGTCGTGTTATTTAATTACGCTTTGAAGAAACGTGCATAATATTTTGCTCGATACGCCCTCTTGTGGCCTCAGGAGAGAAGCCAAAAGCTTTTTTTCCCCCCAACTGAAATTATGCCTTTTAAATTCGAATATAATTCGAATTTTGATAATTTTTAAGTGGAAAATTTGAATTTAGTTTTTCAGTCATTTTGACAGCCCTATAGTCCAATATAATTGCCACTGCACCATCCTTTAATAGCTGCTCACAAAACAGTCCCATGTATTGCTGCTAGCAATAAATAGAGTAAAAAGAAACTTACATTAACTTTACATTGTGCATTGAACTCTTTTATTTTAAAAGATATTGCCGTTTATTTTTTGACTTAATGTCACTCATCCAGAAATGTCTTTTCTCTAAGTTGCCGTTCCTAACAATGTTTGTCTTCCTCTTTTTTGAAAACCTTAGGAGCGGAAATGAGGAAAAGTTGATGGCACTTTTGACCCCACTTAACGTCAACTGTCACGCCAGCGATGGGCGCAAGGTAACACAGATCAGAATTACTTCATTTAATCTTCAAAATGTTCCATAATGTTGCCTTTAATATTTGACATATCTGTAAATGCCAAATATGACTGTTTTAGAAAGTATGTCAGATGTTGTTTCTAAACTCAAGCTCTAATCAAACACAGGATGTGATTTCATGTATTTAATTGGTTGAATAAATAGATGTAGGTCAAGACAATCCCAAATCCCCTTGTTTGAGTTTTTTCTTTCAGTAATACTGTGTTTAGAGTAAACAGCGCTGACCTAGTTTTACCCATGATGAGTTTAAGTTTGGATATATGGTTGATGTCGTTTTATAATGTTTGTTTTGAGGTTACACTGCCCCTTTGTTCAGTCTGGGCTGCTTTTGGATGTCAGTCATTTTTATAAGGGATTTCAGTTGATCTTTTGATGCCTATTGGATGCACGTCTGACCTTCATGAAGTTTTAGGCCAAAGCTTTTTTTGATCCATTTCTTCCTCTAGTCACAACATAATAACAGGACCTTGATTTCCCCTCAAATCCTCTGTCATCCCTGATCATTTCAGGTCACTTCCTCCCTCCAGACCTCTGTGTCTTTATATCAGAAGGGCTTTTTAGGAATGAGTTCATTGTGGGATTGTCTCCTGTTTGTCTTGTAATGGATTTGGGGTTATGTACTGTAACTCATGCTGCAGTACAGTGATGTAGGCTTTTATTATTATTTTTTAGAGGCTGAGTTTTGTTGCTACTTTCATTTTTGTACCCTCTGATACTCATGTTGATGCTGGTGTTTTGTATAATGATGTAATTTTGACTGGTATTTTGAGAGTAGCGTTTTAAGTGGAATACAGCGCACACTAGTTTGATAAATTGCTTTTTTCCTCTTTTGTAGGTTGCTTTGGATAAAAGCATTCACTAAATGTGTAAATGTAAATAGCTGATCACTGAGCATAATGCACGCTTGAATGTACTTTACATAGACGTGAGTATTTGACATTGTAAATGTAGAAATATCCCTGATGCGCTGACGTTTTGTTTTGCAGCCAGAGTTTATTTGCAAAAAAAAACTAAACTTGTATATATACTGCGTGGTATTGTTTTTGAGCGCAGTACATGAGCATAGAAAATGTTTATTGGCCAAAGGGATGCACCGATATGATAAACGTATATGCTGTCATTTGTTTTGTATAGAACATTGAGGAAATATTGTATAAAATGATGTTGAAAATGAAATTGTGTGTATATGTGCCATTCAAAAGTTTGGGATTTTTAAGAAATTAATACTTTTATTTACCGAAGATGCATTAAATTGATCAAAAGTGACAGTAAAGATATTTATAATGTTACAAAAGATTTCTATTTCAAATAAATTCTGTTCTTTGCAATTTTATATTCATCAAAGTGAAAGATAACACAATGTATCCACAAAAATATTAAGCGGCACAACTTTTTCAATGCTGGTAATAATAAAAAAGGTTTCTTGAGCAGCAAATACTAGAATGATTCATGAAGGATCATGTGACATTGAAGCCTGAAAGATGTGAAAAATACAGCATGCATCACTGTAATAAATGACATTTTGAAATATATTCAAATACAAAATAGTTACTTTAGGTTGTAATAATATTTCTTTTTTTACTGCATTTTTGATCAAATACTTGCAGCCTTGGTGAGTGTAAAAGACATAAAAAAATCTCACAGACTTTTGAACGGTAATTTATTAGTGTTATATTGGCCATTTATAATGTCAAATCGGCATTTATCATCCTGTGTCTTTCACAGAAATAAAGTAGCTGTAGATTTTTTTTTAGTAATTTTAAGATAGGATGCTGTTGAATTATTAGGCTTTGGCCATTTATAATGTCAAATCGGCATTTATCATCCTGTGTCTTTCACAGAAATAAAGTAGCTATAGATTTTTTTTTAGTAATTTAAGATAGGATGCTGTTGAATTATTAGGCTTCAAGCACCACAGTCGGCTTTGATGGATAATATGTTAGTTAATAGCTAATTTTTTGTTTTGTTTTGTTTTTTGTTCTGGCGACATTCAGTCAACATCTCAAAAAATGCTGGTAAGTTTATTTTGTGAAACAGAAATTAGTTTTATTTGGTCTTCTGTGATTTTATTATTTATTTTTCCTTTCAATTTTTGTCCCTAAAAAAATCCATCCATACGCTGGTTCACACTTAAAACGCACAGAAACCTGCCTTATTTTCTGCTGGTCACAATCCATCAATCAACCAATAGCTCAGCTAACGTTTCGTTGACTCCTGCAGGTTCTGAAAACAAGGCTTTCATTTGCCTCTTTCTTTAAAGTCTTTATTTAACTTTTTTACAATACTTTTCTAAATTGTCTGCCTTTGCAAGAACTCCACCATGTTTCCTCCGCATCCATGCATCGCCTCACGTTCTTCAATCCATTTGTTTGATTTGTTGTGATCAGCACGCATGCTCTCCACGAACGTGGTGATTTCTCTTTGACATCCTGTCCTGTTTAGATCCATTGTGTGTATGCTAGAAGCGTTGCACTGTTGCCCATTGCCTGTGCCGTACTACTTCAGACCTCATAATAGTGACATGAACATGAATGTTGCCTTTCCATCCTGCACTGAATAATAGAATTCTCTCAGACAATGCATCATTCTTTTGAGGCAGATCTTCATTACTAAATGGCTGCGTTGAGATTGGTTGTCGTGCTGATTGTTTTGCTGTGGTTGTGTTCAGACTGTCATATAGGCATGTCACCATTATTTCTTCATTTTCACTGCATGAACTGTGAACGAATTTGTAACTTAGGCTATTTTAAGTTACTAGTGGTTTGAGTCACTTATCATCTCTTCTAAAGTGATCGAGCTCAAGCCAGATTCATCAGTTGTTCAGAGAGATCGCAGATATAAAGGCCTACTTGCACCAAGAGGCAATAGTTGACAACAGTGACCGTTTTTAATGTTTAGAGAAAGTTTCCCATTTTCTCCAAATGAATTTCAATGAATGTTTCAATAAAGAATTTGAAGCCGTAAACCAAACCAACCACTCTTACAGGAGCATTACAAACTTGCTGGTCTGTGCACTTGAAGCAATGCAAATGATGTAATTTAATTAAAAATGATGGTACAGTATAAACCTGTTGGCTTTGTGTAAAACCAATAGGCTACATTTTTAATGCAAAATATCATTGGAAACAGACTTTTGTCATTTGCAATGCTTTATGGGAGTTTGTGGTTGGCGCTGAGCTCTTTTGCATCTATTTCTAATTCCTTGGTACCATTGATTTTCTCTGATTGGTGGGTCTGTCTTAAGGATTATGGGTAGAGACACTGACTTTTTCACCTTTTTAAGGCATGTAAAAAAACAAATGTTGAGAAGCTATAAAAGAACTAAGTGGCATTAAAATCTTAAAAAATGAGGAAAGAAAGCAACTAACTAAACAAGTATGACATACTGAATATCATTTTTACAACACTTCCGAATAAGTAGGCTGAAAGTCTTATTTAAATGTATAATAAATGCAATACAACATCCTACCTCTGATTTTCACCGCAATGTCTGAACTGCCCTGAGCGCGTTCGCGTCTTCTTCTTCAGCCTGCGCGTGACGCGTCTTCTTCTTCAGCCTGCACGTGAGGCGTCGTCTTCTTCTTCTTGCTTTATGGCAGATCTTCTCCCAATTGAGATTATAGATAGTGTGAATGGTCCATTTGAGAGATAGGTGCCGAATTGGGGCAGTAATTAAAGCAAAAGGAGCCCCTATCAAGTATTGAGTACATGTACAGTAAATGGACATACTTTCCAGAAGGCCAACAATTCACTAAAAAAAATTTTTTTATTGGTCTTATGAAGTATTCTAATTTGTTGAGATAGTGAATTGGTGGGTTTTTGTTAAATGTGAGCCAAAATCATCACAATTAAAAGAACCAAAGACTTAAACTACTTCAGTCTGTGTGCATTGAATTTATTTAATACATGAGCTTCACAATTTGAGTTGAATTACTGAAATAAATTAACTTTTCCACAACATTCTAATTTATTGAGATGCTCCTGTAATTTGGTTTTGTTTGTGTATGTTTTTTTGACTCTCAAAGCCGTGATTCCCATCCACTGACATTATAGGACTGACAGACTGCAACGGTTTGACTTAAAAATCTCTGGATGCCCTGGGGGTAAGCCGATAAACATCAAATTAAAATTTTTGGGTGAACTATCCCTTTAACTGTACATGTGTAAAAAGTCAAATACACCTTTCTTCTGTAATTTGTTCCATTTTTGCTTTGTTTTTGGTGTGAGTAGGCCTTTACATGTTCTTTACGATGTTTATTTAAGTCCATATATTTATAATTATTGTGGATGCTAGAACAGGTACCACTTCTTCATTTGTATCACAAAAACCTCAAGAACGTAGTTTCAAAAGCGAAATGCATTACACAGAACAGCTCACTGCATAAAAAGTTAGCCGTTGTAGTGATTTACATAATAAATTATGTAAACCAAGCAGGTTTACATAATTATTCGAGGTTGGGTTTTTGCAACAAGCACTTGTATTATTGATGATCACTTGATTGTATTCAGACATGTTATTAATATTTCTCTGGTTCTTTTGCAGTCCACTCCTCTTCACCTGGCCGCTGGGTATAATCGAGTGCGTATAGTGCAGCTGCTGCTGCAGTACGGTGCTGATGTCCATGCCAAAGACAAAGGGTGAGGAATATCTACGACTTACTGTCTCTCTTTAACATTTAGTGTCCAGTATGTAAGTCAACATGGAATGCTTCTATTAATTGCTATTTTTACTTCCATAATGTGATACGAGTCAAAAATTATATTCTAAGAAGTAAATGATAGGCTGGTACCCATTAGGATATTTAATAACTTTTTTTTTTTTTTTTTGTATAGCATGCATATATTGTTATACGAGTTTTTTTTATTAATTGTTTTATTATATATATAATATTATATATACACTACTGTTAAAACTGAGGTTATTAAGATAATTTTTTTTCAAAGATGTATATCCTTTTAATCAGCAATAATTATTAGGAAAGATGGCTGTTATTGATTTCATGCTGGTTTAAATGCTTTAATCATGATCTTTTGAATAATTCTGAAATGTTGTTTTGCTCTCTCACTCTCTCTCTATCAGTGGTCTAGTTCCTCTGCATAATGCATGCTCTTATGGTCACTATGAGGTCACAGAGCTCCTGCTGAAGGTAAAGAAAACAATCCAGCCAATACTTACTGATCACAATGTATTCGCTCCCCCATCACTGATATAACCACAGGTGCTTTATTGTTTTGATTATTAGTTACAATAATACACATGATTGATGCTTTCCTGTTTGTCTCGCTCGCAGCACGGGGCGTGCGTTAACGCTATGGACCTGTGGCAGTTCACGCCGCGCTGCATGGAACTAATTCATTATGAGCTCTGTTTTAGGAGATAATGAGCCAATTTGCTATGTGTCATCTACTTAGGCAGCTACCTTCATCTTTGTCTATATTTAAAGCCTGTTATATTATCTCTTGGACCCTACATCGAATATTATGCAAGACTCCAGGGCATCTTTTTTAATAAATCAATTTGTAAATGATAAAACAGTGATCAATTCAAATTGTTATATATTGTGCTATACTAGTGGTTTTCAAACCCTGGCTTGCGACCCACCCGAGGCTTAAAGATGGGTCGCCAGGATGATTTAAGGAAAATGTATATATGTATTTAACAAAGTTCAAGACTCCGGAAAGAAGGAGACGGGAACCGGCTAACGTAACTTCTTAAAACAAATAAACATAAACAACAAAATGAAAGTAAGTGGCAGCCACCTCACAACAGACTCCAGTGCGTATCTGTCTCTCCGTGTTTGTTTTTTTCAGTCCTGAATTCTGCAAGCTTATCCTCTGATTATAACAAACAAAGTCTAGACACGATGTAAATAAAATATTTCTTGTGCAGTGTAGAGAGATTCATTGAATATAACGGAATTTTCTGATAATGCGATAAACTGTAACGAGTGACAGTTCAGTGATTTTTAAGGGAGCGCTATTTGCATGCTTTCTTGTGCATAATCCATTCAGAATATGAATAAAAGTTAAAGAAATAAAGAAACATTTTATTTGATCAAAATACAGTAAAAACTGTAATATTGTGAATTATTATTGCAAATTAAAATAGTTAATTTACTAAAACTGTATTTAAATATGTTTTCAAATATAATATATTCCTGAGATGCAAAGCTGAATTTTCAGCATCATTACTCCAGTCTTCAGTGTCACATGATCCTTCAGAAATCATTCTAATATGCTGATTTGCTGCTCGAGAAACATTTCTTATAATTATCAGTGTTGAAAACAGTTGTGCTGCTTCATATTCTTGATCTTCTTACTAAACCCAAAGTTCCCTTTATAATAAACCTTTGTGCGTGTGTTTAGGTGAACGCTGTGGACACACTGGGACAGACAGCCCTGCACAGGGCGGCCCTCGCCGGTCACATCCAGACTTGCAGACAATTGCTGAGTTACGGAGCCGACCCGTCAATCGTTTCACTGCAGGGCTTCACTGCGTCACAGATGGGCAATGAAGCCGTACAGCAAATACTCAATGGTACTATTACAGTATCACATCTATTACTCTGAGTCTTATTGCAGTGTGATTAATGAATTAACTGTCCATTTATCCTAACAGCACGATGTCCTGAATTTATGATTTTTCTGCATTTATTTCTCCAGAGAACATTCCTCCTCGTAATTCGGATGTGGATTACCGCTTCCTCGAGGCTGCTAAAGCCGGAGACCTTGATACAGTGAAGGTAAATAACCGTTTCAGAGTTTACCAAGTTTAAAGGTGGGGTAAGCGATTTTTCAAAAACGCTTTAGAAAACTGATTCGGGCCGACTAGCGAAACAAACTTGTAGCCAATCAGTAGTAAGGGGCGTGTCCTCCTCATGATGTGGAGGAGAGAGCGTTCAGTGCACAGGACGGACATTAGCGAGCCGAGCGACAGAAAGATAGAGATGGCGAATAAAAAAGACAAAAGAGGAAAACGTCTGTGGAATAAAAGAAGGCTTAAGGAAAGAAGTAGGACCCGTGTAAATATCGGATCAGCTTTCCAGCGCTGGAGAGAACTCAAGGAGCGGAAGGCCTGCGAGTGTCTGCACCGCAACAGCTAAAGTCTGTCTAGTACACTGGACGCGATAAAGCGGCCGTTGAAAATCATTTGAAATTTGTGTCAATACGTCATAAATAGAAGGCAGCAGCAGTTTTCTGTCGGGAATTTGTCATGTCACACCCTTTTGGGGTAGGGGCGTGTTTGTTTTGGTGATTTCAAATGTCAACATTGGCTACCAGAAATCGCTTACCCCACCTTTAAAGTCAGCATGGTCCAAATCTATTTCACTTTTGCAATGTGACATAAAATTAGACATTTAATGATGATATGGGACTTAATCTGTTCTAAAGATTTCAAATCAGGAAATCAATAAATATTTATTCATTTGATGCCAGTTTGTTTGTGTATCTTCCATAGCAACTGTGCTCCCCTCAAAATGTGAACTGCCGTGACCTGGAGGGCCGCCACTCCACCCCGCTGCATTTTGCTGCAGGCTACAACCGTGTGGCTGTGGTGGAATACCTGTTGCATCATGGGGCCGACGTGCACGCTAAAGATAAAGGGTACGATCATCTTCATTGGAAGTAGCGTGACTATCGTTGCACTGTGTCTGAATTGTCTGATTTTCACTTGTTCTCTTTCTTTATCAGTGGTCTGGTTCCTTTGCACAACGCGTGTTCGTACGGTCACTACGAGGTGGCAGAGTTACTGGTGAGACATGGAGCGTCTGTGAACGTGGCGGACCTTTGGAAGTTCACACCACTACATGAAGCTGCAGCCAAGGGCAAATATGAGATCTGCAAACTGCTGCTCAAGGTTTGATACATCAGATGGAGAAATCATGCACATGTTGGCATAATTATGAATGTCATGATTGTGTGGGAATTCAAAATTGTAGATACATTGGGCTGAAATCCAAAAGTAAAATGTGAAACTTTTTGGAATTTATAAATTCTATAAATATTGTACTATTTTAATGTATTATAAATTAAATATATGTAAACATTATATTATTTAAATATATGTATGTATG